ATGACCAGACAAACAAAATCCTGGTCAGGATGTCCACAACCGTGAAGTATTTTCCCAGCACTCCCCTTCTCCATGCTTTGGGGTCGTGTTTCCAAGATGTGAGGTTGGTACGTAGGCAGATGTTGAAAGGGTAGGAATTCCCCTGCAGTTTCCAAAGCACGTATTTGATGTTTGGGGCTAACCTGAGGACACTGAGCCGTGCCTTCAGTGATATCCTCACTAATCTGAGGTAGGCATTGGGTTGGACAGGAATGGAAATCACCCTGCCTCCAGGCAATTGCAGGCTTTGAGGGAATTCAGTGAAAAATATAATTGAATTCCCTCAAAAACGCGAAACAATCACAAAAGCAATTGTAAAGTGGGATGAAGGAAGCTTGCAGCTCAAAGATGCATTTGAACTCGAACAATGTCTATGCTATGTGCTCTGGTTATGTGTTCAAAGATGGTGTTTTCCCAGGAATTCTACCAGGGCTCAGCATCCACATGCAATACCTAAAAAGCCAAATTGTTGTTACTCTTCCTGCAGCAGAGGATTGCTGCCTGCCACCATCTTGCAGTACCCATCATCTCCTCCAGCTCCAATGCTCAGCTCTCCAACATTCCACATTCGGCCACAACCTCAATTTCCAAAATTTCTGCTGCGAAGGAAAGCACTCACACAGCCCCCAGATTCCCAGCGCTTCCACCCCACAGCTTGCTTTTAGGTTTACAAGGGGAGAAGCCCAGCTTGAGCTGTGGGGCAACCCGGAGACCCTTTGCTTCCATTTTGTGTGAGGGAAGGGGCCATTTTGCGGGCTCCTCGGGGGAGAAATAAACGGGAACACGAGCTTTGAGGGCTCTAAATTCTGAGTGTGACGGCACGCAGTGCGCGGGTCAAAGGCACGGCGAGGCTCTCAGGGCTCCCCCAGGCACACACGGCCTCAGCCTTCGCTCGGAGCTCGATAAGGCAGAGCAGCGGGCCGGATTTGGGCGAGCTGAGCCCGCCGGGCCTGCAGAGGGCCCCCGCGGCCGCGCTGCTCGCTGGAGGAGGAGGCGGGCAGCGGCCTGCAGCACCGGGCTGGGGAACGGCCTCCATCCGGCCCGCCGTGCGCCCGAGGCGGGCAGGGCGGCGCCGACAGCGCGGTGCGTCCCGCGGCCTAGGAGCGGCCTGCAGCCATGGGGAAGAAGGGGAAGAGGGAGAAGAAAGGGAAAGGGGCCGAGAAGACGGCCGCGAAGATGGAGAGGAAGGTGTCCCGCAGGGCCAGGAAGGAGGAGGTGAGGGGAGGCGGCGAAGGGCTCCAGAGCCCCGGTCACAGCCTGCCCTGCACGGGGCGCTGCGGGCGTCGGAGCTGAGAGCGCTGCTCCGCAAGCGGGGCGTGAAGGGAAGCTGGAGCAGCGGGGTTGAAAGCAGAGCACGTCTTCTTCCTATCCCCCGTGCTTTTCTTCTGGCCTGAATTAACGGCAAATGAAAGCCAGTCCCGCAGAGTTGGTGCACACGTCTGGGGCCTTTCCCTGGTTGCAGCGTGGTGCTGCCAGCCGTGTGCGCGGCTCCAGGAAGGGAGCAGGGGGAGCTGCTGCCACCGTACAGCTGTTGGGAGGGAGGATATAAACGGGATGTTTAGGTGGGTAGTGATAGGACAAGGGAATGGTTTTAAACTGAGACAGGGGAGTTTAGGTTGGATATGAGGAGGAATTTTTTCAGCCACAGGGTGGTGACACACTGGAACAGGTTGCCCAAGGAGGCTGTGGATGCCCCATCCCTGCAAGCATTCAAGGCCAGGCTGGATGTGGCTCTGGGCAGCCTCGGCTGCTGGTTGGCGACCTGCACACAGCAGGGGGTTGAAATCATTGATCATTGTGGTCCTTTTCAACCCAGGCCATTCTATGAAGGGTTGGCTGATGGAGCTGGTGAGCGTGGGGCTGCAGGAGGCACTGTGTAGCCTGCTGTGTGTGCTCTGTGGAGGCAGACAGTAATTGACAGAACTCTGAGGGGGATAAAATTAGGTGCAGGTTTCCCTTCTGTTCCGTTTAGGTCGTTCTCCATTGCAGACAAAGGTCTGGTGGGGCATAGCATGGACTTGGTCATAATTTAGTTGGGGCTTATGTGATCTCCGTTTCCTTGCTGATTTGTGCAGTGTTTCTCCTGCCGGGGTTGCAGGTGTGCAGCGTACACGCTGTGTGTGCCATCCTGTTAGAATCATAGAATTACTCAGTTTGGAAGGGACCTCAAGGGTCATCAAGTCCAACAGCAGCCTAACCATAGTACCCTAACTCTAACAACTCTCTGCTAAATCATATCTCCAAGCACCACATCCAAACAGCTCTTAAACATATCCAGGGACGGTGACTCAACCACCTCCCTGGAGAGCCTATTTTGTGAGCAAACTTGTCATAGTTTTAGTGGGGGAACAGTTTTTAAAACATGTGAAAGTGCTCAGCATCTTGTAGGTGGACGTGGGGAATCTAAGCAGTTTTTTTTTTTTTACATTTTTTTTTAAATGGGGAAATTCTGATTGTGAATGCTGGTTTCATGTGGTGTGCAGGTGGTTCTGTGCATATCGAGGAACTCAGGTCTGTGTTTCTATTTTCAGGAGGACCTTGAAGCGCTGATAGCTGAATTCCAGACTTTAGATGCTAAAAAGACCCAAGTAATTGAGACGTCCTGCCCACCTCCCTCACCCAGGTAAGAGATTGTGCAAGGCTTTGGCTATCACTTACACAGCTGTTGATGACATTTATTTATACCAAGTTATTTCCTGAGAGTGGAAGGCATAATAATTGGCTTGACTGATATCTGGAGTTAGAAAATACCTGATATATTGAATCTCTGGGTTAAAAAAAGAGCCAAAAATATTTTTTTTCCCCTTAAAATATCCCTTTTTATCATCCCACCAGCACAACTAAGGAGAGAAACATTGGTTAAATTAAAGGGCTTATAAAAAAAGTAAAAGTTAAGAGGAACCTTTGAACTTGGATGAGGAATCTGAAAGGTCTTGAGTCAAAAGGATGTGTCATGAGTCCCAAGACACCTGGGGTCTACCTGCTGCTACGTTCTGTGCATCTCTTTACTGTGGCTTGTTAAAATCCCTTCTGTGTGATATGTTCTTCCTCTGTTTGGAGGGATAGGTCAGTGTAATTCTGTTAATGTCACCAGGGTGCTGCAATGGTCAGTTAGTGCCCCTCCAGCAGTGCTAGGAATCTGTCTCCACATGATGCAGAGCACCTTGATGGTACATAGATGAGTTGTGAATGTTGATGAGTGCAGAAGAATGACACAGATAAGTTGATATGAGGCAGCCTAGTTCTACCAATAGCTATGTGCTCTCATAAAACTAATTTCTGTTCTTGACACATCAGCATTAAAATTCAAGAGCTCACGTCAGAAGGCATGTTAAATGACAGTGTAACGTGTGCTCCTAAAATAGGAGAAGGCTTCAGACGGTGTCACATTAATCTTGCTGGAAGTTTTTCAGAAGTTAATTTCTTTGGGGAGCTTTTCAGCCTGGGGTGAATATCAGAGCCGAGTAATTTGGCAGCTGATGGAGAGACCTTTGTGGCTAGAGGGTCAAAATGCTAGTACTAGTTTAGTTAAAGGCTACCAGCCTCAGTGTTTGAAGTCTTTTAACGTCTGCTGTTTTGGTCATGCCTTTCTTGTTTGCAGGCTGAATGGCTCCCTGTCTGCCCACCCCGAGAAAGATGAATTGATCCTTTTTGGAGGTGAATATTTCAATGGCCAAAAAGTAATGTATACTTCCATTTTTTTCTTCTTTATTCTGCCCTTCCCCTGCCTTATACTGTAATTTGCACAAGTCTCATTTGAAGCGAAGATTCAAAGAAGCAGTCATAAAATATGCATTCGTCCCCGAATGAGAGCAAAATAGCCTTTTAATTCTGCCACGATACTGTCTTATGGCTGATCAGTTGGCAGGAAGGAGACATGCTAGAATCCATTAAGAAGTCAGAGTGATTGTCTCAGCATCAATATTTCAGGGCTTCATAATTTCTCCAGACTTAATAGTAGCCATCTCTGCCCCTCATTTTTGATAACTGTTGAAGAATCTCTATTTTCCAACTTTCAAAACAAGATGTTTCTGCAGTTTTGCAGCTGGCAAGTCATTGCCTGCCTTGGAGATGCATACAGTAGCAAATAAGTGGGCAGTCTTTCCTGAATTTCTGCAAATTGCAAGTGTTTACAGTGCTTTTGGAGACAAATTGGTCATTCCAGCCTTGAGAAGTTGTGTGTACTGAAGCTTGAATACTCAAGCCTAACGATGATATTTGATCTGAGGATCATCCCGCGTGATGTGCTAAGCTAATTCTGCTTACTTCACTACCTGAAGTTATTCCTATCTCTGGAGTTGAGCAGTATTTCGGGCAGCATTAACCTGTACATCTGTGTTAAGCTCTAGCTTAAATCCCAAAATCTCAAGCTTAAACAAGAGTTTGGGAAAGAGCAGCTGAGTCTAGAGGCTCACACTGAAATAATTGTTGGCTACCAGTCCAGTGGGAGAGGTTCTTTTTCTCCTTGCCTGTGTGATGGAGGCTGGTGAGCTGTTGCTTTGCAAGGCTGTCACTTTTCAAGGCCAGGTTGGCTGGGGCTTTGAGTAACCTGATTTAGTGGAAGGTCCCTGCCCAGGAGGTGAGGAATTGGAACTAGGTAGTCTTTAACTAACTAGTTCCTTCAACCCCAACCATTCTGTGACTCTAAATGGGAAGCTGGTACTGTGCACCTTTAACACCGAACTCACAGCTAACCCTGGGTGGTGCTGGTGCTTGGGTAGACTAATCCTGTCCTTTGGAGAGCTGTGTTGATGTGTATCTTTCTTTTCCTCTATAACAGACATACCTGTATAACGACCTGTATCTTTACAACATCCGGAAAAACAGCTGGACTAAAGTGGAGATTCCCAACCCACCCCCAAGGCGCTGTGCTCACCAGGTGAGGTGCAGGGTGCCAAAGAAGCAGCTGGAATTGTTCTGGTTCTGTGCTAAAAATGAATGGAAATTGACTTTTTTTTTTTTTTTTTCCCCAAAGAGTTTCTGGCTTCTCTGCATTTTCATTGTAATGGGCTGCCAATGGTGTCACCTTTTTTCTTGTGCTAAAAGTGGGGGGGGGAGGGTCTGCAGAAGCCTGTAAAAGGTGGTGGTGCTCTTTGATCCCTGAGTGATATCTGGAAATGTTACAGGGAGAGTGAAATATTGGAGGTGTATCTGTTGTGTCAGCAGAACTCAAGCAGGACTCATGGGGGAAGCTGTTTTTGTCTAGATGGACTAGTCATCTTGATGCATTATATGGAAATCAGCTCAACCATTCCAGGCTTGCTCTGGATTTTCAAAATGTTGGTCAGGATGTAACTTAGAATGTGACCAGATAGCTCTGGGTGCCTGGGTTGCTGTGTGTGGTCAGTGGCCGCAGGCATTCCTCTATGGGTGTTACAGATCCCACTGCTCCAGCAACGACTCATCCCTGTAAGATATCCTTGCTAGCATGTAGGATTGTCCCAACTGTGCAGCCAGATACACTTTGTGTACCCTGCCATTGGCTTGGGATTTTGTTTATTTATTTATTGTCCTTGGTAGATGGATTGTTTTTCTTCAGCAAAGACAGCAAAGTTGTCTGAATTTTCTCTGGGATATTGTAAAACTCCCTGTAGTGGAAATGCTAAGTCACAGCTTGAAGCAGTGATTGAGCACCTGTGGGAAGGCAGGGCCAACTGAGGGGAGCTCAGGTGCGTGCAATGTACCTGAGTGATGAAAGGGGTGGAGACATGATCTATCCCTTCCCAGCCCCCATTTAAGGGTTGGCAGTGGAGGTAAGGGTATCTCTTGTTGGAGATCCTTGCTTGACTGAGACTTGCTGAAGGTAAGCAGTACTTTTTCTTCATTTCTGTATCTGTGGCTGCTGCATTTGGGCTTGTTCACTTTTGCTGCAGCCAAGGATTTTGCCACCCTGCTATTATTTTGATACTTTCCATCCCATTATAGCATTATACTTCCTTAGACTTTGTATCTGTCGTTAACATCACTGGTTGGTTGCAGTATTGAAGGGTTTGTTTCTATTTACTTCGTGTGAATAGCTGCACACAGAAACCGGACCAGAGACTTGTATTTTTTGCAGGTCTTTGGCCCTCACCAGCTGTCTGATAGATTATCTTACCTGTTGCAGCGAGAGGCTGGGTGACTGATACATTTCAAAAGCTGCCATACAGGATGTGAATGTTATTTTCCTCCCTGTGGCCAAAGCTCTTTAGAGCTTCCTGGTAAGATCCAATGCTCTGGTTAGGTTCCCGTACCCTTGTTATACTATGCCTAAATGCCAGCCTTGCTCTGAGCTGTGTGTGTGCTGTCTTGAACTGAAAAGCTTTGACTCGATACTTAAGCTACCTTGTAGTGCTTAAAATTGATCATCGTTTCAGAGGCCAAATTCCATAAGGAGGCCAGCAATTCAAATATTCCTTCCACTGAGGTGATAAGGCGGTTTCTTTCTGGCTGTGGAGTTGAGAGGTGCTGGTTTGTGTGTTGGCAGCCAGCAGGTGGCTGTCTAGCAGCTCAGTCTGAATGAGCAAGCAGGCTGCGCATCAGGGAGCGGCAACGGGATTATAGCAGAAATAAAATGAGGAACATACCAGGAGAGCCATGCCTTAACAACAAGTTTTCTGTCTTATAATTAATCACAGTCACACAGGAGGCGGTTCAGGCTCCTTAGCTGAAAGGTTTGTTGTCTTCCCTGTGACTTTATTTTTAACACATTTTCCATGTTAGCTTAAAGGTGAATAGAAGTTTGTCTGTGGGTTTGTATGTGCATGCTTTCCTTCTTTGTCATCTGTAGTCTCTGATGCACAGCCTGCTGGCTTCACCACATCAGTCCAATAGAACTGGAGTGAGAAAAGCCACGGATGGCTGTTGTCAGTTTTATTTGAGGAAAGAGTTTGCGAGATGAATTTGAAGCCAGCTCTACGTGAGGTCGCATACAAGTATGGGCAGGGTGTTGTCTGTCCCTTTACTTAAACTTTTGATCACTTGATTCCCATGAAGAACATCAGGTTACCCTTTTGGGCAACCTGATGTTCCCACAAATCCTGCTTGTAAACACACCCAGTATTTTCTTATGTGTGTAATCACTGCGTGTATGGGCTGGTTTGGGTCAGAGTGCTGTCATGTTTGGTGCTGGAAGTCTTTGCTGTTTGCTGGAAAAAATAGGGAGGTAGTGAAGCCCTTTTGAAGAGACTGTTAATTCAGTGTTTATCTGTGACAGGTATCTTGGGGGGGGAAAAAGACATGAAAGATGTTTTTTTTTGTAGTGTAACCACCCCAATAGGTCCCAGCCAAGGAATAAGGTTGTGTATTCACACAGTTTCATTTTTGGGATTCCTGTCTTTTGCTGCTTAGTCCTGGTGCTCTTCATTCCTTGCCTCTTACTAGTCTCTCGTGTTATGGCAGGGTATTTCAATGCTGCTCCATGCAAAAATAGTAAAATAAATTCTTTAATGCTCTCTTTGCTGCTACTTCCTTTAAGGCAGTAACAATCCACTCTTGTTCAAGTACTGCACGCTTCCTTCTGTTGGTGATTGTTTCTTTTTTTTGTTGTTGTTATTTTTCCTCATCATATAGAGAGCAGTAATGCTTTTCAGATCTTGGAAATCTTCAGGTTTGGACTTGTACTCAGCTCATTGGTTTACTTTGCTGTAGGGAAGGTGTGCTACACAGCGACCAGCTTAGGTTTAAAATTCCCCTTCCTTCAGCCCCACAGAGCTGCTTCTGCCAAGCAGAAGCTGCAATTTGTCTGCTGCAATTTGTCTACTTTCTGGTATTTGGAGGCAGCTGCACATCTGACTGATGAAGTTCTCCTTTCTCTGGCTTTTGCACTCTTGTTTGATCCTGTTCTTTCTTCTGGCAGGCAGCAGTGGTTCCCACAGCCGGTGGGCAGCTCTGGGTGTTTGGCGGGGAGTTTGCATCTCCCAGTGGGGAACAGTTCTACCATTACAAGGATCTCTGGGTCCTGCATTTGGCCACCAGGACCTGGGAGCAGATCAAGTAAGTGGTGTGTTCTCAAGTCAGTAACAATAACCTTATGAGGAACTGTGTCAGCGTGGTCTGAACTCAGTTCCTGGTGTGGTGCTGTGATGTCCTAGCTGTCTGCCCATCTCTCCCTTGGGTACAAAGATGCCCATGTAGAAATAGTGGAGAGGACAGCCCTCAGAAAAAAGAGGAAGCAAGAGATGTGTCCCAGACCATCGAGGTCAAAGCTATTTTGTATAATGCATGGGTATTGAGTCTTAGTAACTGAAGAAATGAGCATACTGAACACTACTGTGTCCTCCCAGCCAAGGCAGATGTAGATATCCAACTTTAGAACCCTACTTGTTGCTCCATTTGTGTTCTATCTGAGCCTGGTATCATGGCTGTGCTGTACAAAATATGTCATTCAGTTTTACCATTGTTTGAGAAGACAGTTGGTATCTATCCAGAGAGACGAGTTCTCTCCTGATAACTGGCATTTGCTGCTGTCTTAAGATTCCTTGGGATAAATAAGCCAGTAATTTGGGTCTATCAAGGTAAGTAGGTGCCAAAAACCATGGAATCTTTTGACTGGAATAAAGGCGCCTAAAAATATTCTGTGGGTCTGGCCTGGTCTGCTTCTGCTAATGTTTGACTTCTAAGTTTTTTTCTGCTCATCTTCATATTTGCATTAGAGGAGGAAAAGGTCTGGTGGGTCAGCTGGTAAACTGAGAGGCAGGAGATGTGGCTTTGGTTCTGACCGTGGCACAGGCTTTCTTTTGTACTTCAGGATTGTCTGGACCACAGCATTTAGCCAGAATACAGCCTTGGCTGTGCTGAAACTCCTCCAAAAGCATCAGCTTTTGGATGTTTGCTCATCTACTTTTTACCTGTCAGGCTCCTGGGCAGGAACTCTGTGTCCTTGCTTCAGGTGGGAAAGCCCTAAATGTGCCCAGGCTAATCAATTTTTGCCCTGCTTACAAAGTGCAGGTGCCTATTGAGTCCTTTCTTGTGCAGTGATTAAGAGGCTGGTTTAGGGCTGAGCTATGCAGAGATGGATACCCTGGCTCTGCCTTGGCATGTGCCTCAGGCCACACAGTACTCACTGAGCCTGTCTGCCTTTTTCCTCCCTTTTGCAAAATGGGAGCATTGATACTGTCTGACGAAGGAAAAATTTGGAGGTTTAGTTTTGTTAATATAGCACTGAAAGGACTCTGGCATGGGTGTAGGGGTCATACTAAGCTAAAGAGCAAATAGTCCTTATGAGTCCAGAATGCACTGGGTAAAAAGGATGCTTCACGGCACAGGATCCTGGCAGTCATCAGCCCTGCAAGAGTCCAGAGATGGTCCTTTTGAGTACTTCTGGGAGGCTGGGGGAGAACTGCTCAGCTCTTCAGTGACTGGTTCCTGTGTGATCCTTGGCTCCAGACCTGGCAGCGTTAGTCTAATAGCAGCTGCAACTTGTCTTGTTACAAGAAGCTGAGTTTTCTCTAGTGAGCTCTGCTTGTTTTTGAGCAGTGGGGGGGGGGGGGGGGGGGGTGAGGGAATCTCTTCAAAATGATAGAGGGCTCTTTAAGAGGTGCAAGGATTAAAAAGACCTGTCACTGTGCAGGCAGAAGCTGCCTATTGTTGTTAGGCAGAAGCTGACGTAATGACTGTGACTGTACCCCTCCCAGCTCCCCCAAAATAACTTCTGAATCCCTTGTTCAATCTCAGCCACATAAAGGGGGTTAGAACTCAAATGTATTACATCCCTTTTAGTTTCGTGAAAGCAGGCGGGGGAGAGGAAGTGATGATACCCATAGAGTCTCTGCTGAGAGAAAGGGTTGACATTTCAACCAAACTCTTGGTTGAAAAAATCCTCACCAGAGAGCAATGTTAATACCCAGCTGCAGGGAGAGCGAGGGCGGGAGATTGTTTTTTGTGAGCCATCAGAGAACCCAGATGAGGCTTCGTTAGTTCCACCAGTGATGGTGCAGATCGTTCTCTTGTGGGTTTGCAGATGTGTTGCTGTGAGCTGATTTAGGGTTTTCCACTCCCAAAACAAGTACTGCAGTGTCGAAGAGGAAATCTGGTCATTAGAAGGCTTTACTCATCCTGCATCTTATCCCTTATGGTATAGTAGCCTTGGGGATGCTGAGTCTTACTAGTACTGCAAGATCACCTGCTCCCACTCTGCAGCTGAGCATGATGTTTGCATGTGCTGCAACATGCAGGGCAGCATCAGCAGTCCCAGACCCCAGGTGGGTTAAGCCACGGCAAGAGAACTTGTTGGAAGCTTGTGATGGGTTAATGTGGTTAGCAAGGAGGGAGAAATTGATCGGATGAGTTCCTGCTCTCAGGGTAAGCAGAAGCACATTCCCAGTGCTTTGCTTTTCCAGCTGCCTGAGCTGCTCACCATCCCTGGGTTATCCCATGTCACTTCAGCAGCCGTGACACAGTGGAAGGATGCGTGGGGAGGCTGTGATGCTTTGTTGTTCTCTTCGTAGGTAAATGGGTAAACATTTCCAAAGTTTGCTCTGAGGAGACCGTCGTTCCTCTTTCTCTACCCCATGCAGGATCAGCTCCATTTGAGTTTTCTGAGGTATTTGGATGGACATCTGTCTTTTTGCTTTGCTGTAATTTTGAAAACACCTGTGCCCTGGTCCCAGTGTTCAAATAAAACAAAGTGCATCTCCTCCTCATCCTTGGGCAGATCTCCAAGAGCTACATTAATTAGGCGTCTGGTGTAGGAGGCTGTGAGGAGATGTCTTGGTTTTAATGCTAACTTGGCTGAGTGTGAAAATCAGGTTTCTGCTGCCTCTTTGTGTTTCCATATGGCATCATGATGACAGTCTGCTTGGAAGAGCAGTCTGCTTGGAAGGGGAAGAAGAAAAGAAAGGACAGTGATTGTTGAGTTTTATGAGGAATGTTTTTGTACTACTTTATGATTGTAACACACTGCATTGTGCTTCCTTCAGCAATTTGTTTTCATCATCACTGCTGGCTCGTACAGTTCCATACAGGCTTCTCATGTCTGTCTGGAGCCAAACACAAGATTTGGATTGGGATGAGTGTTGACAGTGGATAGCTTGAAGGGTTACTGGTGTTGGGGAAGGTAAATGTTTGGGAAGATGGAATGGATGAGGCAACCTTGTGTAGCCTTGTTGGCATAGAACAGGCTACCAAATAGCAGGCAAAGCAGTAATTACGCGTGTCCAGTGTGGTAACAGCTACCTGAGTAAATGCCTGTTGATAAACATTTGGGAGACAGGCTGTTATTGACTGGACTCAGTTGGGTCTGGGAGATGTCATTTTAGAGCAGACAAAGCAGTAATTTTGTTGCTCTATTAAGAAATGCTTGGATGAAAGAGACAAGGTTTCCATCTCCATTCCACCTGGGATGGATCATCCAGCTTCAATTGAGTTGGAATGAGTTTGTAGAATGGAATTATTAGATTGAATGGCTAAGATGACACTACTCTGACCTGAACTTACAATTCTAAGAAGTCTGGTTATTCCAGCCTCACAGCTTAGATTTCAGCCAGCTGTGTTGTCCTTCCTGGCCTGCAGGTTCTGTGAGAGACCATCTCGGTGCTGTAAGAAGCTTGACTGTAAAATGCTTTGAAGAGAATACCTTGAATACCTTACCCTGTGCTGTGTCTGCAAAGGCTGCTGGGGAAATTGATCTCCTTTACTGCTTAATGCAGAGCCACAGTGATGTCAGTCAGCTTGGCAGAGTTAAAAAATTGACAGCAGCTCTATTTGGTTGCATTTTGCCTGCACAAAGATGGCTCAAATGCAGCAAATCTCAGCTCGTTGGATGACATGCCAGGAAGTGACTTTGACTTACTGGGGCCACCTTATTATGTGTGTGATGTGTTAGGTTTCCCCAGTGTGTGAACTGTTTGTTACTCTGCCTTAGAGCAAAGTAATATTTTAACCTAATTTTCTCACTCCTTCCTAGAGAGAGCATTCCTGTTCTCTGTGTGGCCCAGAATGCTCCCTCAAAGAGAAATGGGGGGGTGTCACACATTGGGGCTGTACTTGGGATCTGGCAGATCATCCCTCTGTGCAGTTCTTCGCCTTGCTTCTGAACCTATGTAACTCCCTTCCCTTTAATACTGGAATGCTAATGATACTTCACAGTTTTGTGAGACATGGTGCTATAAATACTTCAGGGCAGTGTTTCACAAGTGTATGTTGAGTGCTGTTTACGGAGAGAACTGGAGCAGTTGCTGCAGAGCAGGATGCCTTTCAGCGTGGGTTTGTTTCTGACCGATGGCTCTTGTTCATGTGCTCTCTGTCATCAGAAAGATCAGGACCTGCAGCACAAGGTAGGAAGGTGCTTTGGTGCTTAAAGAAGGGTATTTTGGTGTGCTGTTGAGCAGACTTCCTTTGACAGACCCAAAGGGAACCTTCTGAGCTTGCTCTCTCCTAGAGGAAGATCCAGACATATGACTGTTGATTGACTTTGCAAAGGATTTGATTTGGGGGTTTTGTGCCTTGTAGCAATTTTGTATTCACTTGCGTACCTCTGAATTAATTACACAAACACATGGTTGCTATATCTCTGCCTGCTGATGAACAGAACACTTGTCATTTGCATTTACAAGTGCAAGATACAAAACCAAACATCCAAGTCCTGGATTTCAGCTGCTTTGTGTACTGCAGAACAGAAGTGTGTTATCCTGAAATGCCCCTTTGGTGGGACGTTGTGTGCTTCATCACTTTTTTTCATAATGAGAGGTTGCAGAGATTGTTCTGAACTTTCTCTGGGTGAAGGAATGAATGAAAGAGTAACTCTCATAGTCTGTAGATACTGCAGCATGGAAGTCATTAATTCTCAAAACTGGGGCTGAATTCAGATCTGTTATATTACTATAAGTCCCAGAGTAACTCCACAAGCAACAGCAAATTCCTTATGGAGCAGTTTAGATCAGACTCATGCTTCCATGTGTAGAGCCAGTTCTTATCCAGACTTATCTGTTAATCTATTTTTAAAAAAAGAGTCTGGAGAATTTACAGCTCCCTCCCACACGTCTGCTTTCTGGTGTCAACCCCATGAAGTAGTGTATTAATCATAACGTCTGTGAAACCATTTCCAAAATGTTTATTTTGGACCATGAGCAGTGATGCAGGTAAAGGGAGACAGGGAATCTGGGAAGCAAGGCTCTGGGCTAGCAGCAAATACCTTCTGGAGCTGCTGCTACTCCTGCTTGACTCTGCTGTGCATTCTTACAGGCTGGGGATGTAATGTATGAATTGCTCCCTGCAAAAATACCCTCTAAGAGCACTTACTGCATGTTTAAGAGGGCATTTCTTTCCATCAAAGGCTGTGAACTGCCCATTGCAGCTGATTCCTGGATGGTGAGTAATGCTTAAGCTGATAAAGCTGAGATGACACAACAGGGTGCAGCATGAGGCCTCCTGCAAATGTGTTTTAGCATCATCTCGAGTAGCTTGCATCCATATCCTAGAGAAAAGGGGAGAACGACCTTGTAATTGAGAGCCATTGATGCTGGTGCGGTGGGACTCCTGAATTCAGATCAGGCCCTGTTTGGGGTGGTGTTTGTGACTTAGAGTTAATTGTACACTTGTGGGAACTTGTTTATTAAAGCACATGCATCAGTGAATAAATGTTTTAGCACTCAGAATTGGTTTTTGACTTAGAGATGTGTTTGAGAAGCAAGGCAGAAAGTATTCTCTGAGAAGATGATCTTGCTGTTAACAATGGCATCTAATTCCTTCTTTTTTTTTTTTTTTTTTCAAAAAATACCCCAAGATTTTTGAAAGATGACATCCTCTGGAATAATGACGTAAAAGTTTTGTTATAAAAGATTTCATCAACATCTGAAATCATTGTAAATATGAAAAGTGATGTTCTGCTGGGTGGTACTTAAAAATCCAGTAAGTGCCTAGAAAATTCTACTGTCCTCATAAGAAGTCCAAGAAATCAATATTAATTCAGGCTTACCCAAACACTGCTGTTCTGCTTGGGGTTCTTCATTATGGCTGCTGTGTGACTGTTATTTCTGATGGTGAGTAAGGCCCCTCATTTTCTCTCTCTGCAGAAATCTATTGCTGCTCTTTGCAGCTACCCACTGCCAGTTATAGCATAGAAGTAGGACTGTGTTTAGATTCTGCTGTTTGTTCTCAGTGGTGAGTGGGTTTCTCATTCATTCAAGCCCTGATTCTGCAGCCATTCAACATGCCTGTACCTCCTTGAGAAGCCTTACTGAGTTCAGTGCACTTTGGGAGACTCCCTAGCAAGGCTGAAAATGTGAAATATTAGTCCAAGGGGCAGAGAACGTGCAAAGCTCTTGTTTTTTCTGTGGTTCACCCTAAATTAGCCTTTGTTTTGAGAGTTCTTTACTTTTTCTTTGTTCTCTCTCATATGAAGGTGTGACTGCAGATAATCAAGAAGGAACATGCATCTTCATTGCCGCTCAGGAACATTGTTGCCTGGCTTTGCCCAAAGCTTTAGGATGTGACAGATGGGGTGTTGTTGCTTGTTCTTGGAAATGGAAGTGGCACACCTAACTGAAAGGTCGTGCGGGCTTGAAAAGAGCAGAGCAGTGATGTGTAGCTGCTCCTTTAATAAGTAAGATAATAATGATAACTTGTTTTGTCAGTGTCTCCTTTGTTCTTGAGGAAATCTGAGTAATTTATCAAGTTTGATGGTATAGCCTAGCTGCAGTTGTTGAGTGACGATAGCGTGGATAGGTGATTTCCTACGACAGTGAAGGAGAGTAGATATTAGAGCCAGTTTCTGGCTTCTATCTGCTACTTAGGGTAAACATCTCTGTCTGGAGTGCTTTTCTTGAAATTGTGGGAGTTAACTGCTATTCATTAAACTCTCCTGAAGAATTTACCTCCTGAGTCATAGCAGAAAAGACTTCAAGACTTGGGTACTGTTAGACTGTATGGTTTATCACTAGGGATAAAACTGTTATTGCAAAATGCCTCAGCTGCAAATACCAAGCATTACAGGAAGAACACATGTACTGTTCTGGAAGAAAACATACATCTATGTTAAGGTTTCAAAATTCCCTGTGATTTCCCATGCCTGAACAGAAGCTAAACTCGGCCAGTCCAGCTGCCTTATAACTTCAATAAAAATGGGCTGACCCACTAGTAGGATGGGAAGCTTGCTGATGAGTGAAGTTTCTTTGTCTTTCAGAGCATCAGGAGGTCCCTCTGGAAGAAGTGGGCATCGAATGGTTGCTTGCAAAAGACAGCTGGTGGTCTTTGGAGGTTTCCATGAGAGTGCAAGGTGGGTTATTGCAGGATAGCTGCAATCCTGTGTAACTGAGACAATGTAATTTCACCAGCAACTGAAAGCTGGGCATGGATTTTATGTAGTGGTACTGAGAAAAAAAAGTATGTAATTTGTTCACAAGTCTTAACTGTTTGAGAAATGGTTTTGCCACTTCACTTAATCACTGAAGTAGCTCCTCATTCTCATAGCTAAAGCTCAGTACGTCAGTTTAGGACTCTGCCCCTCATCAAAGAGGCTTCTCTTCCTAGAAACATCTTCCCCAGTAGGCTCTCATATGCCACATGAGGTCACAGCTTCTCTGTGATGAGGGCTGAAGAGAGCTGAGCTACATAATTTCTCAGAGATGCTAAGCTGCATAACTGCAGTCCCCAGGAGCACAGCACAGTTTGCAGAGCCTACCCTACACTTGGCTAACTGTTTGGCAGTTTCACTGCTGCAGAGCACTTTCTAGTAGCAGTGAGTTGGCTAGCAGGAAGATGGTGTGTGTGTATATATGTGTATACATATATTTTTCATTCTCACCCTCTCGACAGACATTGCACTAATATGTTTTGATTGTTTGTGTTTTGGTTTAAGTCACCTTGGATTGTGTTTCTTGGAAGGAGTTGGTGAAAGCTCTGTTATATTAAGGAATGAGATGGGAATAAAACAAAAAGAACCCAGAGAGGTCTTGCATATAGGAGCTTCATCAAATGCATAATTGTTGCTCTGAAGTAGTAACCTTCAACTGAGCAAATCTCTACACTGCCATGGCTACAGAGGGAGAAAAATCAGAGGTATAGGGAGTTGAATAAGGTACTGCACCTCTTCAGAGGTTCATGGTGCTACTGCTGAAGTGGTATTTTGTTCTGTCCTAAATGATGACCGTGACCAAAACCCCTTTGTTTTCCTTAGAGATTACATCTATTACAACGATGTGTATGCATTCAATTTGGACTCCTTCACGTGGAGCAAGCTGGCTCCATCAGGAATTGGGCCTGCTCCAAGATCAGGATGTCAAATGGCTACCACACCTGAGGGCAGCATAGTCATCTATGGAGGCTATTCAAAACAGGTAGGAGAGACTGTGATAAGCCACTGCAACATGCCAAACAAAATAGTTGACGGAAAAATTAAAGGGCTGAAATGGAACTTTAAATTTAATATTCAAATTACATAAATAGCACCTAAGTGATTACCTTGACCTGTGTTGGTTGCAGGGTCCTGTGTCTTGTCTGCTTGGAGGAAGCAATAGGAGAGCAGAATTAAAATGTGTAATTTGCCACTTCCCTCTGCTCTGTTTAACAAGCATTGTCTCCAGTGCAGATCTGGTGATCTCATCGTGTAACTGCCCGCTGCTCTGTCTGATATTTCCGCATGTCAGGCAGCTGTCAGATATCCAAAAAACCACTAGCAATGGGAGTGCATGTTAGCCTGTGGTTATGCTTGGAGTGACTGTGCAGTTGTGCCCTTGTGTTGTTCATACATGGGATGGCTCAGGCTGCTGTGAGCCAGTATTGTTACCAAATCTATTTTCTTGTCTTCTGATTTTTCCATTTGTTCATGCAGTTGTGTCCTGATCAAGGGTCTGATTTCTGTTAAGACTAATGCTCTATTTTCCCTGCTAATCTAATCCAATGTAAGGAGGTGATGTTACAAAGGAAGGAATAAGCAACTGGGAGAAGTGACGTTTTTGATATCTGTCATTATTGCCAACTTCAGGCATTCTTAGTCAGCGCTCATCCGTGTTCCAGCACTTGTGGGTTAAAAGCAGCAGTTATCAGGAGCCTGGTATTTTCTTGCATCAGGGAAAGGGTTAAGCCAGCTGTGCTTGGTAGCAAACTCAATAAGCTAAAGAAGACTTGTGATGAGTACCAGGCTTACTCTGCTTTGCTTCTTGCTATGTTAATCATGGTAATTTATACTGGATGGGCCTTTAGACCATATGTCCTTATTGACCAAGTATCCCTGTCTCCGTGCTGGGTGGGAGGAAGTAAATATTTCATTGAGCAAAAGGCTCCTGCAAAAGCTTTTAATGTTGTGAATGTAGACTGAAGACCCGGATCCTGCTGCTGCTGTCTCAGTGGAAAGGCATTGCTTCCAGCAGTGCTTCGCTGGGGGAGGAGGACGCATTGTTCTTCTGATGTGCATAAATGAACAAAGAAGAAAAGCATGGGAAGAGGAGAGAAAATAGTCTGTCTGTATATTTAGAAGCATTTGTGCCTCCTCACGGCCTGCGCTGAGGGCTCTAACTCCTCAGATGTGCATTTGATTAAATAGCAGTAACAATACAGAGGCATTTTCTGCCCAAGAGGGCTTTGTCTGCTTCCTGTTCCACCACTTCTGAGAGTGGGAGAAGCCTGCACACTGTACTAGGTGTGGTTCTCTTAGGGCTACTGAAAGTAACTGGGTTTCAAGTGTGTGCTGAGTCCCTTGGAAATATAAAAGCTGACACGTTTTTGCAGTTAGGTCTGTTCTGCTTTATGAGGATAGGCTTTGCTGCACTGCTCTGGGTTGTTTTGAGCTAATAAAAATGAAGTAGAAGGGATGGGGAATGCAAAGCTGCCGTCAGCCTTCTGCTGTGATAAATGAGCACTCAGCCTTTATGCAGAGTACTGAGCAAGAATAAGAGCTGGATGCAGTTCCTCTTTGGCTTGGTGAACAGCTCTTAGATTAAAACAAGCACTCTTGTTATTAATCTACTTCCTTTGTAGCACAGAGAGCTGAGTCTGCTGCTCTGATGTGCTGTTCCTGTCATAGGCTTTGCTTGCCTTCTGCAGCACAGGTGAACTTTTAGGCAGAGATAGTGAAGCCAAGCTACAAACTGAGCAAAGCACCAGACAGAGTTTTTTTTTTCTTGGGATGCAAAGGCAACAGACTTTAGCATCATCCTGAAAATTTAATTCAAGATTTAACACTTCTAGAATAAACACAGTTGATGTTTGGCTATCTAATTCTCAGTACGTCTTTGCTTATAACTGATTATGGAGCTGAATCTCTCTGGATTTACTTTGATGTGAAGAAAATGTTTGGCTTGTGTCCTCCCCATGGAATCGTTGGCAGGGATACTCTGGGGAAAAGTAAGAGGTGGAAGATGAAAGGATCAACACTTAATTGGAAGTAGGCAGGTAGAGGAGAAGACCTGTTCTTTGTCTCCAGTTAGAAGCAGATGCTACATTCAGGAGTATTCTGAAGATGTTTTTGGGCTTGACATGTGGATATGAAACCGGACAAGCGTCCAAATAAAGCATCATTTGCCAAGTCCTGTAGACTCTTCTAATTTCCTTTCTAACAAAAAGCAGGATTGATTTTTCACGTGCACAGTTTTGCTTCCTACAGCTGCTACTAAGCTTGTGTGTGCTTTGGAGAGAAGGGAAGAAATCAGGACTGCTCCTGTATTGGAGTACTAGGGCAGGATATGGCTGCTAGGCTGCTGGAGGAGAGTTACGGTGTGGCAGGGCTGCTTCCCTGCAGCAGGCAGTTTTGATGCATTATATCCTGTAGAGCCCTCAGCCCTTGTAAATCTGCTTCGAGGTGTTATGTGGTGAGATATACACATGTTGTCAAAACAAAAAGGCATGTAAGCCCAGGAGATTCATAGTAATGGGTGGAATTGTAGGCATTTGTGTACCAAGCTGGCTGTCAGGGCCTTATGAAGCCTGAGCAACATTGTCGGCTTGCAGCCATGAATGTTTCTGTGCTCAGTCTGCCCATCCTCAGTCTCAAGCAGAGAGGTTTGCTTGGTACTTTGGTTTGCTTGATATGCATGCCAAACTGAGCATGGAGGGTCAGTTTTCAGTAATGTTTGTCAGTCCAGGCTGTGTTGCTGAATTCCCTTGGTGTCACTTGGCTAAACTTGGCTAAGAGCCTGTTTCATGGCTGGGGAAAAAGGCAGGAAAGATAAGTGGCTTGTCTGAGGCATTCCAGTACTTGTGGATGGAGCCAGGGCTGTTACCTGGCATCCAGGCATGCATTTGCCACTGGATTTTGCTGTTCTAGGATGTTAAGTTCAGGCAGTGAGCACCCAGGATGCAAACAGAAGATGAAAATTTGAGCTTTACAACCCTAAGTGTGCAAATTGAACAAGAGCACACTTGAAAATACGTGATCCTCAGCACATTGGTGTTCTTATGCTCTTCTGCTTTATTGAAGATAAATATCCAGAAATGGTAAAAGACAACTACTGTGGTTCCTTACAGAAGAGGTGGTTGTAGATCTTGTCATCGCTCCCTAAGTATACCTCAGAAGCCTGTGAGACACTCAGGCTTGCTTTCCTGCTGATCTTAAAGATGTCTTTACCCGTTTTGCTTGCTGGGAATGGGGCTTGCTGCAGCAAGCTGCATTTTTGGCTGTACAAAGCAATGAGACCTCTCTATTGCTAGGCAACATGAGCACACTGTGCCTGGCTGGCACAGCAAATGCAGCCAGGATGTGTTGGAGGCTAACGCTGCTCTACCTTGAGGGTGGAAGCAGTCCACAAGCCACAGGAGCTCTGGCACTATCTGTGTGCAGGGCTTTTGGATGCCAAATTAGGCTAAGGTGTATTTTTTCTTTTTAATATATTTTTTTATTATTTTAGCAGTGAGCTCTGCCTGTAGTAGATTGCTTGTGGCAGGGCTGAAGGCTGGTCTTGTGGGAAAGCTTCCCTCTGCAGTTCTGCCTGCTAGGGGCCTTCTGTCAATTGGCTGTATTTTGCCACTGTTGATCTCTTTTATTAGCAGGTTATATACAGGGAGTCCTCTCTGTGCTTCAGTTGCCTTGGTCTTTAAAGGGCTGTAACCATGCTTCTTGCTGCCTGTTGCTGGTGGTAGAGGATATCCAAGGCAGTTTTGTGCTTGAAAGCAACCAGCAGGGACTTGAGAGCAAGAGGGACAGTGAGGGGGCAGGAGGCTCTTGTGGCTGATTCTATGACTCTGGAGCAATTTCCTCAGGGCAGATGAGTGTCCTGGGCTGGGGGAGTTGGCCTCTCTATAGCAGTGTGCTGCTTGCTACTGAAGTGCCTGCTTTTGAGCCAGTGTGAGTGGGGGAAAACAAGCATCTCTGACAACAAATAACTAACTCTCACTCCAGCTCATTGGGTTTTCTTAGCCAAGAAGCTTTGTCATGTTGCACACGTAATGTTTACTATACGGAGCTGTGTGGTTTTCAGGAGAAAAATAAAGCAGTTATTCTGCCCAGCCTGCACAATGGTGAAGCCAACTGCTCTCACAGTATATGTTGTTTCCCTTCTTTTCATGCAGACATTGCTCATCTTACTACACTTGACAGCTGTGCTTCTGCACTTTTCAGCCTGTGCACGTCCCCTACACATAAGAAAGTGGTGTGCCTAACATTTTAGCACAGACTGCAGCCTACCTGGGATTGGAAACAAAAGAAACCCCCTTTCCATTCTCATTATCAGATATTCACTTTGCAGCCACTGGTCTGTGTTTGAGCCCTGTGCCCATCTCTCTCCCCTTTCTTCTCCTCTGTCCATCCATCCCTGACAGCTCTTTGCTTAGTTGAAGCTTGGAGGATGTTTGAAGCAAAGGAGAGACTAAAAAGGCTGCTGTAGCTCAGGCATCCATAACTTGCAGCTTGCTGGTGAGTACTGCTGCTCTAGACTTTTGTGACAGAGACAGCAAGGTGTGACGTGGCTGCAGAATGTTATTTGTTCTGTGCAGTGACTCATAGCCCTTTAAATTTGAGAGCTGCTGCTGCAGGTCCCACAATATGTGCTCCACCAGTTCCATGGAATTGGTGTACTTAGTGCTTAGAGCAGTGTTCCTAGAAGGCATTTCTTGCCCTGGCAACCTTTCTGCTCAAAGTGGGCAGCTCCCAGCCCCTCCAACTGTGTCTCCATTACCAGAGCTCTTCTAGCTATGTGTCAGAACTACTGACCAGTGCAGAAACTTTTTTTCCACGTGCTAGAGAGCTGGCAGTGGCAGAAGAAGCCATCTCTGTTCTTCTTCAGAAGATAGGCCTATCACTGCTGCTTGTTCCTCAGGCTTTCTGTCCCCAGTGTGCCTGATGTTCTGCTGCTGAAGAACAGTGGGTAGAGTAGTGCAGTTTCTGACTTCTTCATTGAGTGGTTGTGCAGAAGAGGATACCTCCAGCTTCAACAGCCTGTCTGGGAGAAACTGTCTTTCATTGTGCTGGTTGGAATGCCTAGATGCAAGTGAAGAGCAAGAACACACAAGATCTATAGCCCGAGACTAACAAATTTCCTAGGGCAGTTCCTAGTCTCTGAGTTGGCTGAAGCTTCCCTTTCCTTTTTCCTGCTCTTTGAACAGAATTTTCCTGTTTCTTCCAGCACTTCATTATCCGCTGGAGCTTCTCAGCATCATCCAAGTTAAAGCATTGTTGTGCAGTGCCTCAAATGTGCTTTATTCCCCTTCCTTCTCTGCCTTTCTAAGAATCAAATACCATTCCTGAGAACTGAGTACTGAGCCATGCAATAGCAAAACCTACTAAGTACAAGGCACAGGGTTGAGTATGGATATGGAGCAAGAAGAAGATGACATTGTGGCATGCACCCAAGCCCTACTTCTTCCCAAGCACTGGGCTCAACCCTGCCAGCTCCTGCTGGGATCTGCTGCCTGGAGCAATGCCATTGCCCACAGGAGGAAGGGAATCACAGGGAAGCCAGAGCTCTTCTTGAAGGATGGGTGGATCGTGGACACTACTAAAGGACCTCCTATGGTGCTGTTGCATAGTGCTCCTTTCAAATACTGCATGTTGCTGTGAGTACAGGGGCTTACAGTGAAAGGAGGAAGTGAAAATTGCATTTAAAATAATGCATTTAATTACTTCAGCTGAGACCTGCTGCTGCTTTTGCTGGTATCTTGCTAGTTGCTTGTAGCAGGGGGTTAAAGTGAGGCTTCTGTTTCTGCTCAGGAGAGAAAACTGATTCTCAAGACTCTGTGGTGCCTCAAATGCTACTAATGACACCTGCAGTCAGGCTGTGGGGTAGAGTGGGCTCTGCTTCTGTTGTATTGGGATGGATATTGGGGGTGGCAGGGATTGAGAGTCTGTGCCAGACACAGATCTGTACTTAAACTAATGATGTACAGATGACATAGCATAGTTAGTGTGCTCAACATTTAAGGACAGCATCCCAGAGGGCCTTGCAAGCACTGTTGGAAGTTACTGTGTGCCACTTTGGAGCGGGTATCTGCTCTCTTTTACAGCTAGAGGAACAGAGGCACAGATGTTAAATTGCTCCCTAGAGAGCACCTGATGCTGTCTGTGGCACAGTAAAAGGCAGGATCTTGGCTCTCCTGTTTCCTTGGTGCTGCCCATCCTTCCTTTCTTGTAAAATGATCAGTTTTAATCCCTTGTATCAGTTTATTTCTCTTCTGTGAGTGCCCAAATCTCTACCCTTACATTGATTGTATCCTGCAGTCTTCAGGAGCCCACGAGTCCCAGGATCTGTGTGGCAGCGTGGAGAGCAGAGGGAGGCTCTGGTTGTTGCAGGCAGAAGTTGCTTGTGGTTTATTACACGTCTCCCACTGCTCACTTGTAGGATGGGACTGAGCGAGGCGTGCTTGAGTGTCACAAGACACCAGCCTCCATTTGTCCCTCTGTCTGCCTCCATTCCCTCTGGGGGTATCGGATTTGCTGCTTGCCATAGAAAACGGCCCTGGTTTCATCACTGCAGTTGTGAAGTGCCTGGTTTCTCCTTGCCCCTATCACAGTGTTTGCTTTTTCAGCATGGTAACGTACAGACTTAAGCTGTGATTAGGCTTATCTGTGGGGTGGAGAGTTCAGAATGGCATGTTTTGGTGTGAATGACTTTCTAGGCCTTGAAGAGTTGGGCCTCCTGCATTTTGGCCATTGTGAAAGTGTTTCACCAAGCATCCCTGTCTTTCCTTTCTTTGCAGAGAGTTAAGAAAGATGTTGACAAAGGCACCCTGCATACAGATATGTTCCTGCTGAAGACTGAAGGTTCAGGCAAGGAGGAAGGTAAGCCACTGCTGCAGCTGGGGGGCTGTGCTGGAAGCAGTGCTTCAGGGTTGTGAATCCTCTCTCTTCCTTTGAATAAGAAACTAAAAAAAAGTCCAAGCTCAGAACAAAATTTCCCTTTTAATGCTGAGCACTGTACCCCAGCTTTTGCTTTGGGGCTAAACACAGCAGATAAGTAGATTTAAATATTTCTTCTTTCCCAGGAGCAGCTAAGTGCATCTGTATACTGTGACTCTAGCTTGAAAAGAAAGGAGCTAGAGTGAAGGAATGGCAGCTGCTGAGAGAGATGAGAGAAGTTGTGTCCTACTTTTTCATTTGGGTATTGGAGAAAAATGATGGGCTATCATGTATACAGGCAACATTCTTGCTGCTCTGTTGTGTAGAAAATGGAAACAGTCCATAGGCCACTCACCTTTTCCTTTTCTCCCAGTCCGTTTTACAGCCTGGAAAGATAAGGCTGTATATAATCTCTGATAACCAAAGCTTAGTGGTTGGCTGAAGGGTGTTGGGAGTCATGGCTCCCATCTCCAGGTGACTTGATTACAGAGCTGATGTAAGTAGCTCTGTGAAACAGGTGAAGAACTGGAGCTATATGAGAAACTTCATGAAGAACTGACAGAGCTAATGGAGGAAGGCTGGGAGGAGCTTTCTGCTGGAGAATCAGCATTATTTACATTGATGTTTTCCAGTTGGCTTTGGAATAGTCTGAGTGGGACTGGAGGGTCTTCAGGTTCCTTGCATGACTGTGTGAGAAGTTCCATTAAAATTACCAGAAAAGATGTTTTAGGGATT